TGAAGTCCCGAGATCCCTCTCCTCACTTGGCAAAAGCCTGTTCCCCACCACCTTGCTGCAAGACAGGTCCTGAGCTCTCTTCTCAGCCTCCCCATCTAGTAGGTGGTGAACGGGAGACAGTGGAGAAGGCTCCACAAGACACACCTTAATGGTAAAAGGGCTGCATGTGGCTTGCAAGCCACAGTCTGATCACCCCTGCTGTATGGTGGTGGACTAATTTCTTACCTAGCAGTCTGGGAGTTAAAGCATTATTTCAATTCATTATACTATTTACTTCACTTTTTATTTCTATCAATTAGAATATTTATAATAAATCTTTCATGTTTGCACTGTTGGTGGAAATGACAAATGATCTTACATATTTGACAATAAAATACTGAATAAATAATAACTAAAAGTTTAGGCACTCCATAAATGCAACTTGGTATAATTTTTTTCACTGTGATCAGTGAGAATTCGGCTGTGGATTACAGATAGTATGAAATTTCAAACTTATAGCTGAGTAGGATTGTCCTTTCTATTTGCGGAAAACCAAACACCTTTGCCCTGCCCCTTCTCTGGGGCCATAACCTTGCCTTGCTTTTTCTCTGAGGCCCTGCCCTTGATCCATCCCTCCCCTCCCTCATGGCTCACTCTTCTCCACCCTTGCTCGTTCGCTCACTCATTGTCACTGTGCTGGGATAGTGGGGTTGGCATATGGGAAAGGATGAGGGCTCTAACTAGAAGTATGGGCTCTGGGTTGGAGCTGAGGATTAAGAGTTTCAGGTGTAGGAGGGGCCTCTGAGCTGGGGCTGAGGGGTTTGGAGTCCTGGAGAAAGCTACAGACTGGGGTAGGGGTTGGGGTGTATGAGAAGAGTTGGAACACGGGCTCTGGGTAACATTTATGTCAGGTGCCTCCTGGAATTGGCTGCCTCATAGGTGCAGAGATGGGCAGGTGGCATTGTGCAGCTTCCCACTGGTTTTGTTTCCTGGCCAATAGGAGTTTTGGAGCTGGTGCTGGGGGTGGGAGCACTGTGCCTAAGAAGAGCCAGAGGGACATGCAATCCGCTTCTAGTAGCCAAGGCTGCAGTCTGCTTGCCTTATTGTAGATGGCCAACTGGACTTTTAATGGCCTGATCAGGATGCTGACTAGAACTGCCAAGGACCCTTTTCAACCAAGCATTCCTGTCAAAAACCAGACACCTGGCAATCCTATCCCCACATCCACAGACTTTGATTATATTGATTTAGAGCAACAATTACCTCGCCTAAAGGAACAATTAAAATGTCTAATTTCTTGGTGATGTAATATTGTGAAAAAGAATGAAAAATAAGCTGCAAACACTTTCTGAACTCAATTTAGAATTAAGTGCTGAATGACCTCAGGAATTCAGAGTAAGAGGCTTGTAGCACATTTTTCATTCTAAAACCTGCCTGATTTGGTGTAAGTTCCTGACCCTCCATACTTGCTGTGGATCACAATTGCCTTCTTAGTGCAATTTATTCCCCATGTGCTCTCTGCTTCAGATTAAAAATACTTTGACATGATAAACAATCAAAGAGTTGCTGAAGTTCAAAAGGCAGATCATTGAAAGTGATAGAACACTCCAAGTATATATTTAGGATAAGGCTTTACTGGGTGCTTTTACCATCAGATTTAGTTGCTGATTATTACATGTCTTAATTTTTTTCTCCCTTCTCTTTTTTTTCTCCTCAAACTATGCCATGTGTTTAATGCGGTCTGTTATCCTCACACAGGATAACAGAAGTTTTAAGCTATTGACAAAGATAAGGACCAAAAGGCCTTCTGGTATGGCAGGCACTTGATGCCTATTTCAAATAAAAATCTCAGTCTATTTCCATGGGAGCAGATTTCTGTATCAAAATATCAACCATTCTGGCAGTTTTGGGAAAGATACCAAGACTGAATTATCTTGGCTCTCATGAAGAAAGAATTATCTTCTCATCTTCAGAGCTAATTACTCTAAAACAAGATTCAAGTATACTGTTTGTGCAATGTGCCCTCCCTCCCCATATTATTCCTACTAATATGCTGTACTTGTATTGAGACTAAAGATAGGACCTTGAGTTTTAGGGCTGTTTGTCTTCACAAGTACGTGATCCATTTTAAAAAATACATAAAAATAAATTAAAAACCAAGCAACCCAGAGATTTTTCAACACAAGAGGTCACTCATTAGCTGTAGCTGAACTGAGAAAACCACAAGCCAACTAAGATTTGAGACAAACCAAGGGGGGGTCTCTGATCATTTTTAAACTATTAATGTGTTAAATTGGTCTGGGCATGAATTTATTGTTGTACCTCAGTTTTTACTATTGTTAAGATCTGTTTGAGGTTATAAACTGCAGATACTTTGATAAATAGATTTAACTGCTTTTAGCTTTTATAAGTACTTCAACATGCTTTACTTATATCCTAACTTGTAATTTCTCTCAATTCTATACATACATATCTTTTTACAGCAATAGCATACTACATGAAGAGTACCTTTTTGTCTTCTTTTATCAGAAGCTAAAGAACACAATTATCACAAAGCTATAGTAATCCAGACCAAGAGATCTATCTGTCTACTTCATGCTGAGCCTATCATACTGTGTGCTAGAAATATACTCTAACATATAGTATTTTCCAAATATTCATTGGTAAG